TTGTGAATTCTCAAATACCCAGGCCCACTACCATGAAGGGCTTTATAGGTGATAAGTAGCACCTTGAAGCGCAAAGGTGCTTTCATCAGAGTACAGAATAACAGAGTTGGAAGGTACCTTGGAGGTCTTCTAGTCCAACCCCCTGCTCAGGCAGGAAACTCTGTATCATTTAGGACAAATGGTTGTCCAATCTTTTCTTAAAAGCCTCCAGTGTTGGAGAATTCACAACTTCTGGAGGCAAGTTGTTCCACTGATCAATTGCTCTAACTGCCAGGAAATACTTCCTTAGTTCTAGGCTGGTTTTCTCCTCCGTTAATTTCCACCCGCTGCTTTTTCTCCTGCCTTCTGATGCTTTGGAGAATAGGTTGACATTCCTCTTCTTTGTGGCAGCCCTTCAAATATTGAAACATTGCTATATTGTCATCCCTAGTCCTTCTTTTCATTAAACTACTTCTTTTCTCCTCTGGCACGGTGGTTAGAGTGCAGTACTGCCGGCTGCTTCTGCCGACTGCCTGCAATTTGGCAGTTCAAATCCCACCAGGCTCAAGGTTGACTCAGCCTTCCATCCTTCCAAGGTTGATAAAATGGGGACCCAAATTGTTGGGGACAATAGGGTGACTCTGTAAACCGCTTAGAGAGGGCTGTAAAAACACTGTGAAGCGGTATTTAAGGCTAAGTGCTATTGCTATATAAAGCACCATGAAGCAATATATAAGTGTAAGTGCTATTGCTATGTAAAACACTATGAAGTGGTATATAAGGCTAAGTGCTATTGCTATTGCAAGCTAACACTGCCTACCACCAGCAGTTCGATCCTGACCAGCTCAAGGTTGACTCAGCCTTCCATCCTTCGGAGGTGGGTAAAATGAGGACCCAGATTGTCGGGGGCAGGAGAGTCTGACTCTCCTGTCCTTTTACCGGCCTCCCTCCCACCCTCTGAATCTCCTCTTGAGGCTTTGCACCTCATGTTGTGGGTGAAGGTGTGCTTCCGATGCTCCATCTCCTGCTCAGTGTCATAGCTCTTTCCAAAGCGTTTTCTGTAATGGTGGAACAGACTGTGGGCGCGATCCTCCTGCCCACCAACAAAGTCAGCCATGGGGTTGGCCATGATGTGGTGCTCTGTGGAATCTCCTGGCAGCTCATCACACAGTTTAGTTTCTAGGGAGGAAGAACAACACACATGTGGATGTCACAATACCCATGGAGCACCCCAATGCAGTAGCCCAGTTCACAAATCCCGAGAAATATTCTGAAACCAGGGAATCCGAAGAATTCCAAGGGCTAGCTTTATGACAGGTATATTCACTGTCTTGAGTTTCCTATAAAAAAAGTGGGATAAAAATTAAATAATGAGGATAACATGCAGCTTTAAGCCACATTGCTCTCTTTTGCAGGAATAAATCATTCCTAGCTTACATGATCTAAGTTGCCAAACACAATAGGAACACAGAGAAGGGAAGGGCAAATATCCCCAGGCCAGAAAGTCATTAAAAGATCATATAAATTCAAGTGCCTTAAGCAAGTGGCCTGTGGAGAGGGTAGAGACTGTAATACAAGCCATAAAATCTGTCCAAATTAGCATCATACAATATCCCTGATAGGCTGGAATGGAAGAAGGAGAGGGAGAAGGAGAAGGAGAAGGGGGAGGGGGAGGAGGAGGAGGAGGAGGAGGAGGAGAAGAAGAAGAAGAAGAAGAAGAAGAAGAAGAAGAAGAAGAAGAAGAAGAAGAAGAAGA